GTGAGACAGGAAAGGAGAGGGTCTTTCGGGTGGCATCCTGCCAGGTGAGACAGGAAAGGAAACGGTCTTTCGGGTGGCATCCAAGGTGAGGGAAGCCAGGTGCTCACGCTGTACACTCTCACTTTCCCCTGTGGGAACAGAGACCAGGAGATCTCCCTTGGCACTGAGCTGTGCCACTGTGAGGGATGACATAAGGAATATGAACCTGCCCTTACTCTTCACTGAGTGATCTTAGACTTGTCACTACAACTGTGTGCTGGGACTTCTTCAGTATATTTCTAGACTCCCAGAGAGGAACTCTCCTTTATAGATAATTGTTAAAATTAGCACTTCTGTATGTTGGGACGGGTCAGGAGGATAATGGTAGAAACTTCCTGTTCTGCCATCTTTCTGACATCACTCAGGACTACCAGCTTCCTAGCAGCATTCCTAATTGTGTTACTGTTGTTACGTTTACTTAGAGAACTATAATGTCCACATACTAAGTCATTTCATTCACGTTTCAAATGCTTTTAATTATTGACTCTATCAAGAGAATTTCTGAAATCTAGATAAATTAATCATGTTAAGATAGTAAATCTAAAATGATCACCTATAGAAATGGAAATTTCATGCTTGCTATATATTTGCAAGTTTTAGAAGCAGAAGAACATATAGTGGACTCTATTAGGTCTTACTGTATGCCAAATACTGTGCTAAATATTTTACATTTATTATCTAATTTAATTTTTACCACAACCCTGTGAAATATAATTACTTTACTGTCTTATTAAAAATCTCCTTGGTACATATGAGGAATCTGAGGTTTATATTCATATGGCAGAGCCAGATAGCTGGTGAATATACTCACCAAGATTTGAACCCTGATGCCCAAACTATGTCTTCATTTCACTTAACAGTAAATTTGTCCCAGAGAGAGGTACTTTTTTTTTTTTTGTTTGTTTTTTCTCTGGTACCAGGAATCGAACTCACGACCTTGCGCTTGCCAGGCAGGTGCTGTGCCGCTGAGCTAAATCCCAGCCCCGGGACTTTTTAATATAATTGTGATCACATAGCACATAAGAAATTATGAACATAGATTCTTTAGTCATAGATATGTGTTCATATTGATGCATGTCTTTACTTATAATGCATATTTATTAATTTAACAGTAACACATATTTGTAGTATAAATCTTGAAGTTGAACTTTATTTTTGTTTTTTTCTTGTTTTAGGTGGTTTTCCCGCTGCATACTTCAGAGAACAGCAACTGATATTGCAGACTGCTTAAAAGTCCTTATGACTGGTACTAAAAAGTAGTAGTATGGGTGGGCTCTAAACACACTGTTCCTTCAGACCTAAAATCCACGTGCTTGAAGCAGACCCAGTAGGTAGAAGCAAATTCCTAAGACTGTCAGCTGTCACCCAGTTGGAGATACCTAAAGTTGTGTGCGGATTCACATGGGCTGCAGTCAGACTGTGTAGCATTTAGATTCATCTGTGATAGAAAGCCAGAGGGAGGAAAAGATGTGGCTGTTGGTGGCCCTTGAAAGGAGTTGGAAGGCCACAAGAAACTTTACTGGGAAGAGCTAGGATTATAAGAGAAGGGTATTAGTTTAAACCTAAGAGACAGATCTTTGATCTTGAGATGGCGGTGCTAGCAAACAATATGTGGTCTTGCAGGAAAAGCTGAGAAAGATGGGAAACGGCACCCTCTTCAGAGAGGATGCAACAGGGCAGATGTAGGGTTTCCATTTCTCACCAGCCCCGGCCCAGCTCTGGCTTTGCTGTTGTTCCCTAGCAATGTGACATATGCAAATTTTGTCCTCTCTGAGCCTGCATTTTCCAATCTGTAAACTTTGAGGGATTATAAATTTTATTTGTAAAAAGTGAATTTGATTCTTCATGCTGGTAATGGTCTTTTAGATACATGATTATATTGTACCAAACTAAAATGAACTTTCTGTACAACATATTTCTAAAGCAAACTGTGATATATATGAAAAGAATCATTGCATCCTGTTACTTCCCCTTTAAAAATCTGGTAAATTTCTTTTAGTAGTTGTGACTGAAAGTTCTTCTGGTGTGGGAGTTACTGCGTGATTTCTGTGCTTAGGCAATGTCTAGTTAAGAGTGGGTGGAAGTGTTTTTCAGAATTCCTACCATCAGTGAGAATTAGAGTCAAGTTTAGTGAGTCAATGTGAGGAGCTGGCCAAGTCATCACTTTATGTTTTCAAATTTATTCTCATTAAGGAAAAAAGGATTTAAGCTTTACTAGTTGATATCTGTTGAGTGGATTTAAAGACTTGAAGAGAATAAATTAGTATTAATTTGATTTAGGCATTTGTCTCTTGAATGAATAAAATTTTGATTTGTTGCTTAAATATTAAAATTTGACTATGGAGATGTGTTAAATTTAAGAATACATTATGCTGTGGGAGCCATTATGATTCTCAGATAGCATAGGTGAAGAAATACCCCTAAGGTACCCATTTTTAGATGGTTGCAAATGTAACCCAAATTAGGTATGTCCTTGTTTTACTGTGTTCTGAAACAGTGAAGTTATGTGAGTGTTAAAGTACAGTGATACTTCAGTTCACAAACTTAATTTATTTTACCGTTTGGGGGGAGGTGGCTGTGTCTGTGTGGTGAAGGTGGCTGTGGTCTTGTTCAGCACCCGATGGGGAGTTTACGAACAGAAGCAAAATTTTGCTGAACGTTTTGTTTGCAAACTGAACTGTTTGTGAACAGAAGCATTCCTGAGCTGAGGTATTACTGTATATAGGAATGTTAATTTTTGTTGGCATTGGACTGTCATTTTTTTTCTAACACCAAATTCTGCAGGAGCACTCAAAGAGTGGTATAAGCACAACCACGGTTTGCCGGCGCGGATAATTGTGTATCGTGATGGAGTAGGGGATGGGCAACTAAAAGCAGTTGTCGAGTACGAAGTCCCACAGCTGCTTAGCAGTGTGTCAGAATCTGGCTCGAAGACCAGGTATGCTGTTTCTGTTCTTCCTCCGACACTTCCGGAAAAGGCATATTCCATCACAACTGTCCAACAGGCGTGCAGATAGAATAACTTCTGTGTTATCCAGTTACTTTTGCTGTGTTTCTGCATCTGGATTTCCTTGGAGACTAGTTTGATTGGTCTAACATAAAGAGCCTGACAGTATAAGTTTTCTGGGCCCCAGTGTGTCACATTAAGGAAGGCAGGTGTTTTTCAGTGCAGCTGGTACAGGCTCAACAGGAAGCCTGCAGGGCTGTTGCAGGTGAAGGTACTTCACACATATGGAGTGAGGCGAGCCGTGGTGTCAGATGTGAGGCTCAGATTAATACACAGATTACGGGCATTAATGTGCAGTTAAGGTGCTGAAAGGTACCCTGTGGGGAGTGAGTACCATGAAAGCTGAGCTGCAGGTAGAAACCAGACCATCTTGTGCATGAAGGACCTTGCTCTCCTGTGCATTTCTAGACTGTATGTAAACATTCTTCTTCAATAATTATGTGAAATAGAGAATGAAAGAAAAACTCTAGAAAAGGAAAATGAGGGAGCATAATGTCACGTTGGTGTCTGCAAGTTTGTGGAAAGCACCTTGTGTCTGTGCAGTGCACAGAGCTCTGTCTGTATCTTTACACCATCATCACAGCTTCACAACCATGAGTCACAAAGGGACTGAGTCTTGATCTTTACCAGTTACTGTTGGAGAGGAGTGAAAGTCTAATAGCTTGGTGATCATGTGGCTTGCAGCTGCATCCACACTGTTAGAGCCAAAATACCTCCTTCCCCACTGACCTCAGGTCAGTGTATATGAGGTGAATGACTAATAATGAAAAACTATGCAATCCAGGGAAGCAGGAATAAATCCAGGGGCGGAGAAGTTGATGCCAAGAAGTTGCTCTTTTTGCTCTATAACATCAATTTTTAAAGTTTCAGTATTGAAAACATTCATAACAAATTTTTAAATAATTAAAATGATTAAAGTAAAATTTTATAGTGAATATTTCATCCCAAAGGTTCTTCCAGTTTGTATTTGCTCTTGGCTTTAGCGCTGGCCAGAACATATATTTGGCCTGTAAAATCATTTAGCTAGGCATGAATTTTAGGATTCAGTTTTGCAAAAGGAAAGGGGACCAAGAGATGGAAGGAGGGGGTGGGAAGGGGATGAAAAAGCATCAGGATGTGTAATGTACATGTACCAGCTCCCCACAAGGAAGGTAATCATTATGTAGTGCAAACGTGAACAAATAAAAAAAGATTAAAATAAATGAATCCAGGAGACACAGTCACACAAACTAGAACGGCTAAAATTTAAAAAGATTGATAATGATAATTCACAGTAGGGATCAATGCAATTAAAACTCAAGATTTACAATGTGTGATAGAAATCAGCATAACCATTTTGAAAAACCTTTTGGCAGTTGTCTAAGTTAAAACTAAACGTATATTATAAAAAGAGATGGTTTGAGGAGCAATAGGAAGTAGTAGTTCTTGCTTTGATACTCAGAAATAAGTTTCAGAGGATGATTTGCTAACGGAAAAAAGTCTCCATGGGTAATTCTGGAAAATCTGTCCTTAAAATGCAGTTGAAGGTTGTTCTAATAGCCATTCCCTTCCCCCTTTAAGTGATACAAACTAAGCAAATGACTTGGCATAGTACACCTTTGCAAGAAATGAGGACAATCCCTAATTTAAAAAACTGTATGTCTCTCTAGGGAAGGAGGCATACTGGGTGATTTTTATTTTAATTTTAAGTGTTTTCTAATGAATTTCTATTTGTTTCATTTTAAAAATTACAAGAACAAACCAGAAAGGTTACTGGATGGTTTTAGTTCTCTCTTTGCTTTCTCTGGTTCTAAGCTCCAGGTTGTCAGTGATTGTGGTCAGGAAGAAGTGTATGCTCCGACTCTTCACAGAAAGTAACCGTACTGTACAGAATGCCCCATGTGGCACTGTCGTGGACTCAGAAGCAACACGTCCCGAATGGCAAGTGCCATTAGAAAATCAGGTTTTAAGGAACATTCATTGCCTTTTGTTTACGCTTAGCCTTATTCTCTTTGACTTCTTTCCCACATTTATTCCATTTTCCCCCTCAGGTATGACTTTTACTTGATCACCCAGGCTGCCTGTCGGGGAACTGTTAGTCCCACCCACTATAATGTCGTCTATGATGACAATGGTCTGAAGCCTGACCACATGCAGCGACTAACGTTCAAACTGTGCCATCTGTACTACAATTGGCAGGTGAGGAGAAGCTGTTTACTGATGTAAATATGACACTCAAGATGAGTCAGGAAGATGGCAAGCTTGAGCCTAGACTTGACAGCTTAGTGTCTCAAAATAAAAATTAAAAAAAGATTGGGGCTGCAACTTAGTGTGAAGGTCCTGCCTTTAATCTCAGTACTGGAGAAAAAAAAGATTCTCACTTGGAAATTGCCCCTCAGTTCACTATGAATCCTGAGGTACCTACCTTTTCAGGAGGAGGAATGAGACATGACTCTTAAGTCCACAGTGGAGGAACCAAGACTGTCTCAGAAACAGAGCAGCCATTACAATGGCTCAATGTTCACTGTTTCTCGAGGACTTTATTAGCTGAATTGTCTTAGGCAAACTTGGGATAAACCAGGATTTTGTTAATTCCATGTTACAGACAAGGAAGTTGAAGGCAATACAGATGTGCCTGATGGAAAAGTGTTAACAGGCATATGTCTGTCATGTGTTTCTGTGGTTTGGGCTAAGATTTACCCTGAGTCCTGTTAAGACCAACTTCAAGGAATGTGAGGTCATAGGAAGCCAGGACGAGGCCAAGGGAGATGCTCCCAGCTCCCAAGCTGGTGCTTCACCCCATCTTGCTGGTGATCTTAAATTTCCACTGACCAAGTTGCCCTTTAAGTTTATTGTTTACCTAGCAACACGTTCTATTATATATGTAACCAATAGATGAAAGCACTCATGAAGAAGAAACGGCTTTGAGGAAGTTATCCTCTTAATCATTATTGCTTTTCCTTTCTCAGGGCTTAATCAGTATTCCAGCACCATGTCAGTATGCACACAGGCTGACTTACCTGGTAGCACAGAGCATTCACAAGGAGCCAAATTTGGAATTAGCCAATCACCTCTTCTACCTGTGACGACTTGAACCATTGGCATCAGGAGATGAAGAATCGAAATAGTTACTGCAGTAGACTTCGTGCACATCTGCCAAAAGATCGAGGCTACGACTAGGGAAAGGAGGTTGAGCTTAGGGTTAACTTCAAGGAAAATAAAACTAAAAACAAACCTGAAAATATCTTAATCTAAAATAGTTTAAAAGAAATGTATGTTATTTTATCTTTAAAAAATTATATGCTTGGAGTAAATTCTAATCAAGGTATAGAGAATCAAAATATACCATCACCTAAAAGAACCCCATGAAGTTAAGTCTTCTAAGAAAAGAAGTGTTTGTGTGATGTTTGTGTTGATGGTAGAGTCTAATCCCTACTGAAGTTTTGCAGAGGTTTTCTTAAGTGTTACAGAGTATTTTGTAGTGGCTTAAATAAGTGTTAGAAATAAACAAAGTTTAGAGCATCAAAAATGTGTGTGATTTTTTTTTGTGGTACCAGATTGAACCCAGTGCCTTTGCACTGAACTATGTCTCCAACCTCCCCCCTCCGTTTTTGGAGACAGAGTGTCATTAAATTAAATTATCCAGGTTGATTTGAACTTGGGATGCTCTTGCCTCTGCCTCCAAGAGTGCTGATATTGCAAGCATATATCACTGTGCCTGGCTCAAACATGTATTTATTGTTATTTGACTTTTAAGCTGCTATTACAATGGTCTCATTATTTAACTAGACCACATTGCCATCAATCTTTGAGTTATATTTCTGAAACAGCTTACCAGCTATTCTGGTGTTGGGATTTTATTTCATTTAATAGCAACCACTCTCAGTGATGACCTTGCCTGCTTAGAGAAAGCTGAGTCCATTGGAAGAGAACTTTGATGAGTCCTTCCTGAGGGCACTTGTGCCCGTAGGTTCGGCCCTGCCCTTGGCACTGTGACTGCACCCTGACTGTGCTCCTGCAAGGCTCTCCACCTCTGACTGGGGCGGAGGGGAAGCTCCTCTTGTGGGCTTTGCCTCACTTTCCTGCACTGACACTTTCTCCCTCGTTATTGCTTTACAGTTGGCATGGCAAATATGCTGTCATTTCTCTCATTGTAAGAAGGAAACCATTTCCCTCTCCAGTTACCACCCAGTTTCTTTGCTCTTCTTTACTGAAAGGTGTCTCAAAAGAATAGTCTGTGCTTGATGTGTCCGATCTCTTACTCTGATTAGAACTTTCACCTCAACAGTTGCATCCAAGTTGCTTTAGTTAGGGTCACTGGTGACCTCCACTTTGCTGCATCTCACAGTCACTTCGCAGTCATGACCTTGCTTATTTCTGAATGGAGGCCCGTTCCGGCTTCCGCTCCTAGACACTCTTCGCTTGATGGATAACACCCTGCCCCACTTGCATTTTACTGCCTTGATTGCTCTCTCTCATGCCTTTGCTGGCTTTTCTTCCCCTTCTCACCTCTTCTACACTGGACTTCCCGAAGACTCAGAGATAGGTGTTCCAAATTCTGTCTGTTGAGAAGTCATATAAAGGCTGCTCTGAGGGACAGTGGAGGGAATGGCAGCCAACCACAAGAGGGACAGTGCAGACTGCACCGAAATAGTTCTTTTCCTGTTTGAGAGCTTTGTCCAGGCCTGCTAGAAATGCATGCAGTGTGGGTCCTTCCAGTAATAATAACAGTGAACATTTTGGGGCAGAAAGAGGGGTAATGGGTTCCAGGCACAGTCCCACATACTTTATATACATATTTAATATTCATAGTAACTATGAATTAGGCAATAATGACCATTTAAAGACAACTAAGGAGTAGATAACAGGCAAGTCACTAGTTTATGAGATTAATACATTGTGGAGTTTGAATTTATTTCCCTGTTTATATGAGAGCAAAACCTGTGAGATGAAGCATAAGGCTCCACAGCATTAATAAAAGGTGCTCTAAGATTTAAAATTTTTTTTCCAGAGTTATTATTTTTTTCTTTTTGTGATATGGGAGTTTGAACTCAGGGCCTTTACACTGAAATATGTCCCTAGCCCTTTATATTTTTTATTTTGAGACAGGGTGTTGTTAAATTGCCCAGGCTAGGTTTGCTATCCTCCTGCCTCAGCCTCCTAGTGTGCTGGGATTACAAGTGTGTCTCACCATGCCTGGCTTTTCCCAGTGTTCCTATTTTATAAGGGTGTGCCTTATAAAGGCTTTTCCCAGTGTTCCTATTTTATAAGGGTGTGCCTTGATGAAGTTGGCATTATATGGCTTTAGAAGCAAGAGACTGTACCTACGGGGGAGGGTCCTTTTGTATTGTTTCCTTTAGAGTATAAGGTTGACACAATGTTCCACTACCTAATCAGTCTACTTGTGTGAATCTATTTGCCGCATTTTGATTAGGCAATGCAAAGATGTTTGTAGAGTTCCTCACTCTTACCTACTGTCCAAGGTAACTTACCATTTTGGCCCACCAGGGGGCATATAAGGACTGTCCTACAAACAGGCTTTAACGTGTGGCACAAAAAATAGTGGAGAAATAGACAACTTCAAGTAAACTCTTAGAGTGCAACACGAGATTAGGAAACCATTGGAACTCAGGTTCCAGCATAGTTAGTTTTTGTATGTAGCAGTTTCCCTCCCTGGGACTGTTATCCACTCTGTAATAGGAGAAGGGTTTGGACTAGACCAGTGGTGCTCAACCTTAGAAGTAGAACTTCTCACATTAAAACAGATGCATGGACCACCCTGGAAATAGTGATTTAGTTAATCTAGGATGAAACCCAATCATATCTGAATGTTGTTAAAGTTCTCCATGTCGTTCTGATGTCCAACCAGGTTTGAGGACTGGTGGTCTAAGGTTGATTCCAGCTCTCTTGCTATGTGCTTGCCACCTATCACCTATCTTAATGTTTTCCTCATTAAAAAAGCCAAAGACAAGACAGCAAGCATGTGCCAGGCTTCAGGGCAGTCCTGGCTTTGAAATCTAGCACTGTTAGTACCTGTGAGACCTTGGGCAGTTTACTTAATCACGCTGAGCCTCAGTATATCTACTTGGAAGACTTCCTGATAATGTCCACATTACAGAGTTACTGTAAGGAGTAGAACTGTCAAACCTGAGTGTCTGGCTTTAATAAAAAGTTCTGTGTTACCAGGCCTGAAGAGAGGAAATGTTGTAGTTTAGTCAGCAAATACTAATGGGTACATGTTATATGCCAGACCACGCTAGATTCTGAAGTCTATCATTCTTATGTAAAGGGTTCGCATTTTTTGCAGATATGGTCTACCACTTCCTGTTTTATGGAGATGGTATTTTGGTTTTGCTTTTACTTTGGGAGTGGCGAGGGGGAGACTGGAAGAAAGTATACTTCAAGTACTGTACATTTCTGCGGGTGCCATTGTGGTGCACCAATCAAGCCCTCTCTTAAAAGAGCCTTTAGAAAGAGCACAGCTGGCTGACAACATTGTTTTGGGACCCACCCTCACGGGGATGTTAAACCGTGCTCTTCTCAGGCTGCTCCTATCCTCTGCCTAGCTGAGCAGGGGCGATAGATTTGGGTACTTCTTGCCTAGTATGAGCCTTTGCTACCAGACAGTCTTCGCTGGGGCCTCCTTTAGGACTTAACCAGTGCTTTCTCAGAGCTGCACTCTAGCTCCAAGTTCTTGCTACCAGTCCACCTTTGTCCTCTTCTCTTATGGGTGATGATGGGCACTGAGGTCATAAAGTTGTCCCTAGTTAATCCTGTTCCCTTTCACTTGTACCTTTCATAAGTGTTTCTTCCAGTGACTCTTGACAGTCTAATTCTGTTATTGTTGCTGCATCTTGGGTGACCCAAAATGACACAATTCCTTTCATAATTGTCATTGTAATTTTTAATAAAAATAAGTCTAAAAATTTTTGGTCTTTGTTGTAGTCAAGGTTTGCAGGGGAAACAATTTAATACAGGACACATAATTTATAGGATTATTTTATAATAGTCACCCAAAGAATCAAGTACAGAAGAGTACAGGAAATCTGTCCATACACTAAAGACCAAAGAATCCAGCTGAGGGCCTGGATCCCGTGGCAATGTCTGCATTAGTCCAGCTGAAGACCTAGAGCCTATGACAGTGTCCTCCAGGAGTCCAATTGGAGCCCTAGAGCCCACGACAGCGTCTCATGCAAGTCTGTCTCATAGATCTGTGCTGGGAAGGCCCAAAGTTCAGTGGTGGAAGCTAGAAAGTCTGTGCCAGCAGGACGAAGGATCTGTGCCAGCAGGCTGAGAAATCTGCTCTGGAACCAGGAAGTGACGCTCAAAGTAAGGACCAGAGCTCCCCTGGAAAGTACCACAGCTGTCCTCAGTGACAACAAGGTCCTGAGCTCCTCTGACAGAACAGCCAGGTTCATACTAGGAAAGCCAGTGTGACAAGCTTCTCCAGGAGACTGAACAGCACAATCATCTTCTCCAGAGCCAAGAAGCAATGCTCAAAGTAAGGACCACAGATCCCCTAAAGTGAACTGCAGCCATTTTCAGCAAGAACATGCCCTGAGCTCCTTCGACGATGAGAACAGCCGAGTTCACATCAGGAAAGCCAGCATAACAAGCTCCTCCAGGAGAACCAATAGCTCCTCTTCTTCCTCTCAGGTTCTCCTTTTCATGCTGTTGTCCACAATCCTCAGGTGCCCTCCCCCCAGCACCACACCGATTCAGCTCAGCTGGGTGTTACAAGCTGCCCACCAGTTGTCAGTCCACCAGTCTTATCTCCATCAACCAAAACAGGAAGTCTGAAAGAATGTTACCTTGAGATGCCTTAACTTGTTAAATACTAGGTTCTGAGTTAGCAATTTTCCATGAGAAAATTTATTCTGAAATCTTTTTCACATACTTCAAGATCTCAGACACAAAATCCTGAGAGCTATTGTCCAGTGTCTGAGTTTTGTTGAAATTAACCCATACTTGGCACTGTCATTTGACGCAGTGCACATTGGCCAGCCCCACCGCCCCTGTTGGAAAGAATGTGGAAGGATGTACTTCCAATGGGGAGAGGCCAATGAGGGCTGAGTCTAGGTATTTCCAATTTATTGAAAAAGATTTTTTAAACCATTCATTTAATATTACAAAATTAATAGATGTATATAGGTGTACATTATGGAATATTTAGAAAGTATAAAAAGTACAAAAACATAGAAACACCAATACAGCTACAACTCAAAATATATTCAGTCAACACTTAGGTATATATTTTTCATTTAATCCTTGTACCCTATATAGTTTCATATACCTCAATTTTTTGCATAAAACTATGACATGAGTATTTTCCTATCTTATAAAATGTTTACAAGTGTTAAGTTTTAATGACTAATGATGCAAATACAACAAATTACTTTCTCTTCCTTTTATTTCTAGGCCATTCCCATTATTTCTTTGCTATAAAAATATGGAGCAGAATTTTTCTCCCCAAGTATATGGGATTGGTTCCTTGGGCTAGATTCCTAAAAGTGAAATTTCCTAAGCTAG